GAAACTTATCTGTTTTTTATTCAGAGCGAGCTTGTGTTGGGTTTGTTTACACAGCCAACGAACGGGAGGGTGTTTATCACAGGGTTTGATTTTATAATTTAACTGTGCTCAGATGTACTTTTGACGAGTAAAACTAAGAATTTTCTACATAAAACACTTTTTTTTTTCTTTTTACTGATTTCACAAAACCAGAATCTGCCATAGACTTTTTTAACACATTTTATTTTTGTTGACTGTAAAATCCTAAAACACTGCATTGTCTTCAAGTTTAAGGTGTCAACACGTGGCTTTAAAGATCGCTTAGTATTGATCTGTGTGGTGATTATGTCATTAGAAACTAAAAAGAAATAAAAAGAAAAACAGGAAGACGTTTCACTGTTTGTTTGTTTTTTGATTGTTGTGTGACACTGACTTTTACAACCTTTAACCAAAGAAGCGTCTGAGACTGTTCTGCTGAAATCTGCTGCTGGGTTCATCCACACTGATTCAGTATGCTTCTTTTTGATGAATTATTTTGATTTGACTTGAAACATTTGTTGGTGACCACAGGTAGTTAGCTTACAGTGCCACCGTCTGATGAAACACGCTGCAGCTGAACGCTGGAAATAACGTTTAGACGTTAAAAAATTTAAATTCTAACCTTTTCTAAGCTCGGGCCTGACGTTCAGTCAGGTGTGCTTCTTACATCTGACTGTGTGTTTGCAATGCTGCGCTTTATTTGTGACATTTCTGGACATGCTCATGTTTGTCGTGGGGAACAGGCATATGGAAACGTTGAATAATGTCTCCCTCTAGTGGCTAATAATAAATAAAGATTCACTTGCACCAAGTCATGTGGCTTTATTGTCAACCGTGTGCAGTGGTACAGTACACAGTGAAGCGAGACAGCGCTCCTCCATGTCACAGAAAATCAACACAAGACTACATAAAGTGCAAGTGTGCAAAAACTGCAAAAAAACCAAAGTGCAACACCAGACAGAGCGATGCAGACGCAACAGTGCAATAGAAAAGTGCAACAATGGCAGTGCAAAAGACTGAGCATTGTGCAAAAAGTAGCTTAATGGATGAAAGTGTGTGTTTGAGATTGTGCAGATAAGTGCTTGGTAGTGACGTGTGTGTGTGTGTCAGTCCAGGAACTGAGTGTTCGGGAGTTTGACGGCTTGGGGGAAACAAACTTTCACAGTCTGGCCCGGATGCTCCAGTATCTCTTGGCAGCAGGGTGAAGAGTGTGTGTGAGGGGTGTGTGAGGTCCTCTACGACGCCGGTGGCTTTCCAGATGCAGCCGGTGTGATCGGTGTCTGTGATGGAGGGAATGATCTTCTCACTATCAGGGATATGTTTATAGTGTTTTTGTGTTTCTGTGTACAACCTACAGCCTGGTTGTTGCTACCCGCAGATTCATAAGCCGGCTGTCAGATTTTAAAAGTCTGCAAAACCATTTCCAAGATTTCTAGCTAGCGGCTCTGTAAAGCAGCGGGTCCAGTGAAAAGTCTCGGCTGTGTTCGATCAGTGTCAAAACAAAACAGGGCAGTCATCCAGAAGAGACCTGAAACATACATTTAAGACCACTGTGGGGAATATTTATTGTCTGAAAAAGCTAGTTTTATACAAACCTTAAAAAAGTGCATTATTCTATCAATACTGCTCAAACTAATCATTCCTGGTGACTTGCAACAGCTGACTAAAGCATAACTTGAACTGATGTTCCAGGCTGAGCGTCTAAATGAGCTACTTTCCCCTTCCCTGATCAAAATAGACCCAATGAGCTGCTCTTACAACACGTCACCCTGAACTATCTAATCTCTGGATTGCCTGACCTTACTTGAGCCTGAGGTAACAGCTAATCCTCACTGAAGAGAGGAGGAAGACACTGGAGAGACGGACACAGGTCAGAAACTGAAGGACGTGAAGAGCGTACTGGCATTTCAAAGGGGAAAAAGAATCACCAGTGGTCCTGGTAAACGAGCTTCTACAGCCACTTCCACCATCTGCACCTGTAGCAGGGTCTGCTGGAGGTTTCTTTAAAGTATCTGTAATTGACAGCAAAAAAAGAGCGAAGGATAGAGCACCCTGGAGGACGGCGAGCCCTGCCTGCAACCTGAGTCTCAGAAGAAAACCACAAGGGTCGAGATAAAGCTGATTTTGGAGTCTGTGGTAAGACATCGTCACATGTTGCTTTGCTGTTACTCTTTGGCTGCTAATTAGAAAAAACAACCTGTGATTTTAGAAATCAGTGTTTTTGTAAAGAGCAAAACAGTGGCACGAGTTTTGGAGATGGGTAAGGATAAAAGAGAAACATAGAGAGGAGCAGTGGACACTGCAGGCTAAGCCATGATAAGCCTCTAAGCTACTTCACTTTCCACAGATCAAATGTTCTGTTTTAAACCTGTTGATCTGTGCTGGACTTTTAACAGCCAGCTATTGATTCACTTTATCTGTGTTTTTGGCAGGAAAGCTCCAGCCCCCTGCCAAACCAGACGGCACAAAATCTGTAAAACAGAGCTGAGTCCTTAAATCTCAGATTTAAATAGGAGCGAGCCCTTCAACCGCCAGCTTTACCGTCGCTCAGATCCATTCAGGTTTGACCCCTGACCTCCATCCATCCCTCTATCCCCGCTCAGGACATGTCTCGCGACCAGTGCGATTCGGTGGCGGTGAGCGTGGAGTCCCTCCTCACTGACGCCAAGAGGATGCAGATGCAGTGCCGTGAACGCAGCGAGCAGCTCTCCGTCGCCGCCGCGCAGCTGAGGACGGAGTCGGCCGCCCTGAGGGAGCAGTGCGAGGCCACCCAGCTCGACATGGCTCTAATCCGCCGGCAGCTGGAAGAGCTGAAAGACACCAAGGCTGCCTTTGAAGCCAGGGAGAGGCAGGCGCGTAAACTCAGCAAGCAGCTGTGAGAAAAACGAGGGAAGGTGGAAGATGCTGAAGTCATGAACTGTGATGCAACATCCCATTTAAAGTAACCGATCAGCAGCTTAGATAAAGGGAGGAAGGTCTGACAAAAGAAAGAAGGAGAGAGATAAAAGGATCAGCAAGGCAATGAAGGGAAAAATGAAGGAATGAGATGGAACTTGAATCCATCTCCCACAAACCCGAGAGTATAACTTCAAGCAGACCCATGTTTATGACAGCTACCCTGAAAAATGTAATCCAGAGGACAAAGAAAGATTTTAACCTGGAGTTTAGTGAAAGAGGGGGAAAGCACTTTGTCATTATCTACAGCTCTGTCTTTACCTTGTAAACACATAATTGAACTTCACTCCTCTCACATCAAATAAATGATTCCCACACACACTGGTCTCCACATGTCTCCTTTAGAGCGTTTTTTTCAGCTTCATGCAAACTCTTTGATCTACTAACCTGCATATAAATGTGCAGGTTAGGTTAATTAGACTGAGAGTGAAGACAAAGAACGGCACACCTTCAGCAAAGATCACTTGAAATGGTCCTATTTCAGTGGGCAGAGGTGAATATGGAGCCCGGCACCAGTTGTACTTCACATCAGTACACTGTGACACCCTCGATCTAGAGACTGCGATCGGGTAAAGGGACACGAGTAGGAACAACGTATGGACGAGCATGTTAGTTCGATTTCTTAGAAAGTTTATGTAACATTATTTTGTCTGTATTGAATCGACAGAAAACTGAGGAAAGATAAATTTTCTTTATAGGTGAAATGTTTTTGACTTAGTTTTAAAGATCTGTACACAGACCAGGATGTGAATATTTGACTCCTCAGATTCTTCTTTGTTGGTAGATGTTTCGTTTTATAACAGGGTTTTGGGTATTTGTTTCAAATGTGGACATATTTACCTGGTCAGCCTGGGTTCCTGCCACCTCTCTCATGCTTTAGCTCACTATCAACTTACTGACTTCTCAAAGCGATGCACATTTACATGTGCCAGCTATTTATGATTTTCTTGTGTATTCGCTTTAAAATTCACTAGTTGAGTTGAGGTGCTTCAGGTCGGGTCATAGACCCAGGACACCCCGGAGAGGTGTCTCAGCTGACCTGGAGGCAGAGAGGGAGCTCTGGGCTTTTTTGCTTAGGCTGCTGCCCCCAACCACGCCATCATGAGCTTTCTCACTGTCACCACCTTTTATTTCCTCTGGTGCCCTAAAGATCCGCTGAAACTAATCTGAACATTATTTTTAGTTGCACTTCTTGTAATTACAGATCAAAAAATCCTTTATTTCCAGAGAGACTGAACCCAGAACACGCAGGAGCAAGTAGCGGTCTGAGAGGAGGCCGTTGGTCTTTGAGTGCGTTTTGTGGCTAGTTAACCTTCTGTCTCCCTCCACAGGAGCTGCCATTTCAGTGACCTGTAGCTGACTCTCCACTGTTCCTGCTGCTTCTCCTCCAAACCCCCCCCCCAAAAACAAACTGAGGACATTTTAAAGCTGCATTAATCCAACCTCATGCACACTGGGCTGCCCAGCATTCATTCACATAAATTGCTCACCTGTGGTGATGCTCAGCAGAAACATTCAAACATGTTGATTTTCCACCTGCATAAGAACCAGTTTATTTATTTATTTCACAATCAGTCACGATCCTGATCAGATTTTTAAAAATAAAGATAAATTCTGCCACCTGCTGGACGTTTTTAAGTTTGCTTAGCCACCTTTTCTATGGTGTAAAGATGTGCCGGTGGTCAGGATGGCTGAAAACATGGTTCAGCCTGTGTATTCGGTCCTGCTCATGAACTCTTAGAATTTGTTAATTGGTGTAATTAACACGTGATGATAGTGAGTTTCATGTCATTTGATTAGATACGCGTGTTTTCTGCACAGTCGCTGGGTGTCCTATGTGAACATTGCTTATCAGAAGCTTCTTTTCCTTCCTCTCCCACCAGCTTCCAGGCAGTCAGAAACTTTTGTGCAAGACAACGCACAGCTGCAACAACACAATATGATCAAACAAATCCAAGACAGCCGAGTATGTCTCAGTGATTCTGACTCACACCGATAGACACAAAAAAAAAAGACAGACAAAAAGGTTGTGTGCTAAAAGATTAGATTTTCAATCAGCATTATAAATCATTCTATAAATACATGGTTGTCATATCGTTAAGAAAGTCTTTTAAATAGCAATAGATAACAAACAAGCAGTAGGGTGGTAGGCAGGTGGGATCAAAAGCGCAGAAAAACAACTCAACAGTCTGCTGGGCTTCAACGAGACAAAACCTGAACTGGAAATAGCTGGGAACGTGAGTGTGTGTTAAGTTTGGTGTCGCTGTTGCACAGATCCGCCTTTCATCACCGCTCTGAAAGACAAAACAGGATCGTTTAGAGACCAAACCTTTTCAGTTTGCTGCGTTAATAAAAGACGATTGGAGCAGACTTACTTTCAACTTTCTTTTTTAGTGGCGACAGAGCTGCTTTCGCCTGAAAAACAGAGACGCCGTTTACACGATCGGACGCAGGCTGGTGTACACACCCTGAAGCTGCATCTTTATCGACTGACAGCTGAAGAATCTGGGAAGTCAAAGGGAACTTTTACAAGTGATTTCTGACCTTCTTGATAGCAGTCCAGTCTTCAAGGATGTCGATGTCTCTCAGCATGTAGACGATGAAAGGCCCTGTGAGACAGAGGCAGTCATATTGAGAGACTGAGACTGAAAACTAAACAGAAACAAGAAAACACACTCTGGAAACTAATTGAATCTAAGCTTAATTTAAAAACAATACATAAAATGATATATAACCAATAATAATAACTATGATTCTGCCTTTTGATCGTAGTTGTTGTGTTCTTGCCTTCTGTAGGATTTCCAATGGAAATATCTGACAAAAATGGCTTGCAAGTAAATGACCTTTTCATCAAGCTATAGCACAGGCCACTGCTCTGCGACGATATGTTTTAATTGTGTAATAAAGGGTTAACTTCCAATTTACACACCATATAAAAATGTCTGCACTTTGGCGGAAACAGGAAGTACAACCCAAAGAACCCCGTCCCCACAGTGAAGCATGGTGGTGGAAGTATTATGCTGTGGGGATGCTTCTGTGTCAGGAACTGGGAATCTCATCAAAGTGGAAGCAAAACCTCAAGCAGTCCGCAGCAAAACTGAGTCTTTGCTTTGGCTTCCAGCACAACAAACAGATAATAATAAAGTAATAATAGTTCTCGTGAAATTTCTATGTGAAAAGTAAATCTGGGTAAAAACTAGCTATGGAAAACTGTTAAAAAAAATATATTGCTCTGTTTAGCAGCACTTAAACAATAAGACGGGAGCTCATCTCCTCATCTGTATATGTACACATCAGTGCTGGTGAGGCTCCTCACACGCGGTGCTTACCTGAAACCAAAGCTACTTTCTTTTTCTTCTCAGATCGACCCAGCAGGTTCTTTCTTTTGCACTTCTTGCCCCTCAGCTCATCGCTCCACTCTGAACAGACAGAATCCACCTTATACAACTCCACTAAAATGAATTGTTTTGAACACTTTCACTCAGTACTTCAGTTTTATAACCTTTGCGTACTTTATGTGTACGTAACAGCTTTGCGATTGACACGTACCTGAGGTGAGGTCTATATTCTGCCTGTCCTCCTCCAGCCTCCTTATCTTTTCCAGTAGCTCGCCCTTCATGGCGTCAAACAGCAGCGTTCGCTCACTCTGTAAAACACGTGTAGATACAAACAAGCGCGTTAGTTCTCTTTTAGTTGAGAATATTAAGTCTCCAGTAGGAAAGCAGAATGCGGTTGAGAGTGCACGTGCGCGCTACCTCCAGGTGCTGCCTCGCTCCTTGCACTTCACATTCATGCTTGTGTTTGATGACCTGCAGACACAGCTCCCTGTACACTCCTGCACAAAGAGACAGCCAAAGGTGTCTGAGGAGGTCATACTGGCATTATGTGCACTGCTACTCCATTACTGTTTGGTTAAACACACATTAGCAATGCTCTATAAGTAAGTGCTGCATTTGGAGGGTCCAAAACAATCTAAATATTTAATAGGACCCTGAACCAGAAATGCATTCTGGGTAAACAACTACCTTGAGGCATCACACTTTTTCCTTATTGATTTAAAGGTACGGTCAGTTGTTGTTTTTTTAGGTTATTTAATAGGAAAAATTAATTACTCATAAATATACACTGATTTGTGTGAAATTAAGTCTTCCAACAAATTGATGCTGGAACTGATCCAAAACTTAAAATGATGAAAATCCACTAAAAATCCACAGGAACGAGCTTTGTGTCATTCATGGCTTCAGACTCAAGAATAATGTCTGTTTTTTCATCTGAGCAGGTGTCGCCTTCACCAAAAAAGCGAGAACACAAAGGAAGTCAGGACTCACAAACACATGAAAACTAGCATAAACACTCTTGATTATTCCCGATTTTGGTGCAATTCCTTATTATCAGCAGATTAGACATTAGACACTAACATCACGCCATCTAAGGTTAGGCTCGAGTCTGCTATAAAAATCACACATCACACTGTATGAAAGTTTATTCGCCAAGTGTCCGAGTCCACAAATGTTAGCTCTACTTATGGCTGGGCCGTATCACTACTGCTAGCCTCGCGGAGTGATAC